CAAAACTATCTATTTTGACATTTTGTAAACCAACCTACAACTTTCTCATTGAAATTTTCATCTATTTTCATTCTTACAAACGTTAGTTAATTAAACAGATCTAATAAAACAATATTTGAGAACACAAAACATAGTCTAACTCCAGGCAATGGTGAGCAACATGCGTTTTGTCGCGTCGTAATTACGTGTTCTGGCATATTCTTACTCTGGCTAAAATTACGCGGGACACCCTGTATGAAAAACATTAAGCGCACAATGGGATTCGGACCCTTGCCCTCTGCGTGCCAGCCCGGTATTATACCGCTGAGCCAAGCCGGAGCTTGGAACTAATTTCTAAACTGGCCTTAAGCAGGCTTGATGTCGAGAAAGGAATCCTGTTAATATGAGTGAAAAGGCGTTTTATAACATCAAAAGAATAGCCAGGCGTCATACAATGCGAATTTCGTAACGATTGGGTCGTCCAATGCTCCAACCTTGTTCTTGATAAAACTTGTCCTTGATCACCTATTAACCGCGCATGCCCACTAGAGCCATAATTCTTCGTCGTCGTCTGCCACTGCAAAAAAAAAATGCACGAAATTTATAACAAGTGATTTATCGATATGTGGGGTTTAACGTCTCAAAACCACCATATGATTACGAGAGACGCCGTAGTGGAGGGCTTCGGAAATTTCGACTACCTGGGGTTCTTTAACGTGCACCCAAATCTGAGCACACGGGCCTACAACATTTCCGCCTCTATCGGAAATGCAGCCGCCGCAGCCGGGATTCGAACCCGCGAACTGCGGGTCAGCAGCAGAGTACCTTAGCCACTAGACCACCGCGGCGGGACGTGTAACAAGTGTGAAGAGGATACCACGCTACTATATAAAGATTGACAAAGGATCGCATAGTGAATGCTGGCCTGCAACACAAAATTTATTATTATGGTGTAGTTGGGTAGTTATTTTCGCTTATAGCATTTCAAAGTGTTTAAAAAAAAAAGCTCTGAAAGGCTGCTTTTCTAGCTTTCGCTGTGACCATGCTGCGCGTTCCGCGCAAGCCTGGAGTTTGTTTTTTTTTTTAACCTTGGTCCTTAACATTAGCTTGATGCATCACAAATTATTCAATTTTATTGCATCATAAATACTTGATCAAAAAACCTTGGACTTCTCTTTAACTTGCTGTGATAGAACTGACTTTTAATTGTTTCAAGAACATTTCCTAGCAGAAAAGGCGACGTTTTGGCACCGCAATGAGTGTTTTTGGAGCAGCACAAATGCTATATATATATATATATATATATATATATATATATATATATATATATATATATATATATATATATATATATAGTGACTGAAGGTAGAAGCAGAGGAGGAAGAAGTGCTTATGGAATAAACATGGCGTATAAGCCAGGCGACGTCGCCCTTTCATCATAGCGTCATATATATATATATATATATATATATATATAGATGAGTATATTGTAATATGGATCTTGATGAAGGCCAGACTCTGGCTGAAACGTCGAAATAAACCACGTTGTAACTGCTCACGAAGGATCTACATGACCAATATATATATATATATATATATATATATATATATAATATATATATATATATATATATATTGTGGAGAGAGGGAGAGAGAAGATACAATACAAAAATGAAATCACACCGGTAAAGCTATGCACCATATTTACAGAAGTAACCAGCTACATTGAGCAGTTGCCAAAGCGATCTCAGTCATTTATATATTTAACTAAATTACCTGCATGTAATGTTGGAAAAAACAGCTGAATGAATTATACATTGATATGCCGATTCTTGTTGCATCAGTGAGAGCAAAGCCGATAATGGCCAACGAAGGTAATAGCATACAGATTTTTTTCAGTTTCTTTAAAACTCGTGAGTTAGTCACAAGGTTCCTCATTTTCACCAAGAGCCATTTCAGGGCAGGTTCAGAGCAATTACCAACAATGCATGAAGTTTGTAACAGCATGTAGCCATATATCCCTTTTGGAGACGTTGGGAGCAACCGGTGCAGCACTTCCATCCTTGAACTTGTCTTGGAGCAAGCACAATAAAGCCAAATATTCAATAAATCACTAGAAAAACAAACTGGCTACCTCCAACAACTTGCTTCGCTCCTCAAGAGGCCAAACTGCTAAAATCCAGAGCATTACTACGCCCGATACTTGAGCATGCTTCTATTGTCTGAAACTTCATTCACAATATTGAGAGCATAAAGAAGACAATGAACCAGGTGCGAAGCCAGCAAATTTTTTCGGGGGGGGGGGGGGGGAATGCATTATTTTGACTTCGAGAGAGGCACCCCTTTAAATTGGCCAAATTTCAAGGGGGCGAGGGGCAGCACGTGCCCGGAGTGCCACCCACTCACTACGTCCCTGAATGAACATTTAATTTGTGAGAGTATGACAAGAATTTTTCACCTACCACTAACCTGTCTACTCTTAACCTAACTTGCATCTAAACATGTGAATTACACCGCAAGTTCATATAACGTTTCTGACTACCCCAATTAACTTATGAAACAATACTAAGACAGAAACATAAATTCTAATAAACCTAAAGCCGACACTTTTTCACCCAATGGAATCTGTGAGTGTGTTAACCGGAAATCACACCACAATGTGATCATAAAGCCCACTTTATTATGAAACAGATTAGTTTCAACCATCTGAGCTTCTTTGCTGCACACCTAAATCTAAGTAGTATGTTCATTTCTTCCTTTGCTGCAACTGATCTGTGCTGTTATTCCCACTCCTGCAATAAAACAAGTATACCTGTCATAGTACATAAATATATAGAAATAAATATAATGGCAGTAGTCTGTCTAGCTCAGTGTGGGTCTTAAAGCATCATTGTCAAATTTATTTATAAAAGCAGGAATAAATCTCAATTCATTAACTTTTCTCTCAATCGGTTATTCCTGTTGACTTGAATACCTATGGACAATTTGCAAAAAGCAGCAGAACTTTTGCAACCAAGGGTTTTTTTTTTTCTCAATCAAGTACTCTTATTCAGACTTTCTCGCTTATTGTGCTTTTGCCACTCATGACTCCAGTAAAAGTGCAAGCATCACAAATTCTTCAATCAAATTATTGTAGCAACTGTAGCATTGTCATGTCTCATTGTTGCCTTTTTGCATCTGTAGGTTGTTAAAGATATCATCGCTCAGCCGACATGACACTTTTGCTATGAAGCTGGGAGTGACGAAAGGTGTATGTGCATGAGAGTTTAAAAGAATGCGTTGCTGGGCTAGTTTGCTCATAATCTTAAAACTTGTAAGCACAATAACAAAGTGGACAAGAAAAAGCAGCAGAAGTTAGGGTTTTTTTTTTTCAATCAAGTACTCTTATTCAGACTTTCTCGCTCATTGTGCTTTTGCCACTTCTGACACCAGTAAAAGTGCAAGCATCACAAATTCTTCAATGAAATTATTGTAGCAACTGTAGCATTGTCATGTCTCATTGTTGCTTTTTTGCATATGTAGGTTGTTAAGGATACCATCGCTCGGCCGACATGACACTTTTGCTATGAAGCTGGGAGTGACGAAAGGTTTATGTGCATGAGAGTTTAAAAGAATGCGTTGCTGGGCTAGTCTGCTCATAATCTTAAAACTTCTAAGCACAATAACAAAGAGGACAAGAAGTAACACAGATAGACCTATCTATCTGTGTTCCTTTCTGTCCTCTTCAATTTTGCACTTCCCAGTTTTAAGTGAATTAGGGTGCTTAGTCTGAAAAGAACCTCACAGGAAAGCAGTCTTAGAGATTATTCCAAATTGTTTTTGCAGCAGGTTAATTACCTTGTATGTAGCCAGACAGAAGCAGAGCTCAGACCCAACCTCATTATCAAACACTGTACCAAGTGACACCAACATGTTTACACTACATCAAGCAAATGCCCAAAATATACACTATATATATATATAGTTGCAACAGGCCTGTGTACCAATACTTGCCATAAAAGTTGAGCTTATGAAGTGCAAAGGGATGACTACACCATGAAAGCTGCTGAACAGATATCAAGCATATTAATCCCTTGCTACTAATGCAAATTTTAATGGAGGGAAACAAGGCGACATATGGGAGTAAGAGTAAGCTCTTAAAAGTACCACTGGCGTGATTCTTGGAACAATTGATGCGATACCTTTTTTAATTACAGATTGCTTTCTTCTGTTGAAGCATATGACTTGAACAATGCCAAATTGAAACAACTGAATTCATTACCCGAGCCAAGAATGGGCATGACTGCATTGATTGATTGATTGATTTGTGGGGTTTAACGTCCCAAAACCACCATATGATTATGAGAGACGCCGTAGTGGAGGGCTCCGGAAATTTAGACCACCTGGGGTTCTTTAACGTGCACCCAAATCTGAGCACACGGGCCTACAACATTTTCGCCTCCATCGGAAATGCAGCCGCCGCAGCCGGGATTTGAACCCGCGACCTGCGGGTCAGCAGCCGAGTACCTTAGCCGCTAGACCACCACGGCGGGGCTGGGCATGACTGCAGTGACCAAAGATAGCGCCATCTGGCTTTTGGGAGGAATGTACGACAGGCACAACAGCCCAACTGTTTCTGAAGTCCTTGTGTATTCCCTACACCTAGACAGGCAATTCTTTTGTTTCTATCACATAGTTTTGCATGTTTTAGTCATATTTGTGTATCTTTGTCCATATATAGAGGGTGTTTGCTTCTTTTGTCATACAACAGCTCGACAACGGGTCCACCACTCGGGCAGCCTAGAGCCGTTTCATCTGCAACACTCATCGATGGGAACATCTGGCTCTGTGGAGGCTGTAGCAACATCACTAAAGAAAAGCACCTTGTCAGCATGGACTCCATTGATGTTTCACAACAATCAAAATGGAAGAAAACTTGCACACTTGGAGTGGCCAGACACAGTGCTTCCATCGCAACCATAGGCAAGAAACTGTCGCTATCAGTGCAGAATGAAAAATCAAAATGACTGCTTCTTTTACAGGTTCGGGCATATACATTTTCGGGGGCATCAACAGCCAAGAGCGGGGTGTGCTGTCTAAGAGCACCTTAGTCATCACCGACAGAAAGGCTATAGTGTCCGCGCGTCTCATGCCGCAACCACTCTCTGGGCACGCTTCAGTCACCCTGCTGCCAACAAGTAGCCAGCATCCACTGTCCAGCAGCAAGTGGAGTGATGAAATTTATAAAAGGCACAACAAAAAATTTAACAAAAAAGGGGTCCAGGAATAGCATTGGGAAATGACAATAAATCACGTACTCTCTTCAACCTCTGATGAAAACATACAACCAAGCCAAACTTTTCAAGCCGCTACGGGACATTACTGTATTGCTCTCCACTAAATGTGAGAGTACTAACATGAACTAGAGTATTACATTTTTTTGAAAGCTAGTTTTCTGGTGGCACCCTTAATATATGCATTGCTGCATTACTACAAAGGGAGCAAAACTTGCCTTCCAGTCATAATCCCACACTGACCACAACCTGTATTGCTCTCTAGTACTCTTTATACCTTTAGTACATGCAGTAACGTTCTGCAAAAGCACCCAGTTTTGCAGAAGTGCCAGTGTCGGCGAACATTGACCTGCTTAGGGTTACGATACAGCTAGGAATGACAATGCAAACATTCAATAACTTGCGGTGCCAAGGGAAAGGCTGACGAGGGTGTACATAGTGATGTGGCAGTCCTTGACTAGTGGTCGATTGGTTTTGATTAAGTATGTTCACAGCTACCTATCCACACTTCTCTCCAACTCCGTTGCCAGGAAGATTAATGTCATAGAGTGGCACGATACGATCATAAAGAATGCGAGCTGTACCTATTGGCATTTCAAGATAGAAAAGGAATAAGCAAATTCTTTATTAGATGTGGAATCGGTTTTACGTGAGATGGCAGCAAGAGTGTGCATGTGCATAACAAGCATGGGTGCTTCCACAGTGCCTTGTGGTAGCAGATTTTCTAAAGAAAAAAAGACAGTGTTCTTATGGCACACTGAAGATCATAAATATTTATAAAACAGGCTGTTGGCAGCATAACTTTATTCTTTCAGTTACTACAAAGGTGGGCATCTTCTTAAGTCACTCTCCAGTCATTATTCCATTGACTGTACTGTCGAATGATCTACAATGCAGAATAAACAATATTATTTATTTTATTATTATTTTACTCATACTGTGAGCACATAAGCCAAGACAGGAGTTGGAGTTACATAGCTCTCATGTACAAACATAGTACATGCTAAAACAATTTCAACACTGAACACTCACGAATTGCACAACATATCGGAATAAGAAAACAAAATGCAAATTCATATTTAAAACATCCTGTACAACTCGCCTATATACATAAAATAACAGGTTCGAATACATCTCGTACACGTCACCAAAGAAATAGTAACATGTTCAGGCAACAGGTAACCAACAACAAGACAATTGAAGGGCGAACAAATGCTAAAGCAATACAAATCATTCACAAATATTCTGACCAAGCCTTTTCAAAACTTTGTAGATCGGAATATTCGACTATGTTTTGAATTGACCGATTCAAATCATCAATGCTCCGAACTAAAAAAGAATGCATGAATCTGTTCTGTGGTTGACTGGTACAATATGTTTCAAATGCTTTGTTCTGGATGAGGTAGTTTTCTCTAGTACGATGTGCTCGCCTAGGTTAACCCTAAAATCTCTGTTCAGTAGGTGAAAAGAATATCAGTCGATTAAGTTGCATTTTTCGTTTCACCGTCATTATTCTGGTTCTTTCTCTAAGCTCGCTGAAAAACTGAGTTCTTGAATACGAGTTTGAAATGAACCATAAGGCTTTATTTTGTATACGCTTCCATTTTAGTGTAATATTTGTTTTAGTGTAAGGTTCCCATATATGACTTGCATAAGTCAGTACTGGAAGAACAGCCATTTTGTATGCCATCGCTTCAGCCTCTGGAGTAGCATTGTGCTGTTTTTGTCGTAACAACCAAAGTTTGTGCATGGCTCCATTACAAACATCATCAACATTTAATGACCAGTTCATGTCGTGTGCAAGGCGAATACCTAGGTATTTAACAGTATTTAACATCTTATGCTTCAGTTAGCAGTGTGCTTTTAATACTGTAAGGAAAAGATAGGGGGTCTTTTTTACGTGTCATGCGCATGAAAAGGGTTCTGGATGCATTCAGTCCCATTTGCCATTCTTTTCATCAAACACTAATTTTCAATATTAATGCATTAAAATTCACTAATGCTATTAATGCAATAATATTAATGCATAACCTTACCAAAGAAAGAATTGATAAAACTGACCTGGACAGTATCTGGCCACCAGGGACATAGAAGGGATTGCAAACAACGTCACAGTATGAAGCATGAAGTTTGTGAAACATCTGTAACAATTTCATTTCATATAGACATGCTCCACATTTTTACTGAAAATGACAATGCAGATCCATACTCACCTGCCGGATTTCGTTGTCCCGGAGAGTTGTACGTGAGGTTTCCACAATTACTATGAACTTGGTTTTAGTGTTCGTCACATATCCATAAACTTTATAGTCCTCTGTGGGATACAGTAATCCTAAGTACAGCTCCCGGACATCTCCAGAGCTCTTGTTCCCAGGTGATATTTTTTCTTCGACAACATCCAGTGACGTGTGTATAGTATACAAAAATTTGAGCTCATTACATGGTGTCACAGTCTTTACAAACAATGGAGAATTCTGCAAAAAGAAACAAAACAAATGATCCAAAATTAATCCCACGCCCAATTAGTAAGCACTCTGTCTAAAATGAGTTATCATAGAATATTGCTCTAATAGCTCTAAACAGAAACGAGACACTGCAAAATACAAAGCAGAAATTCCAAATGTACACAGATTTTTACTGCTCACATCCAGCAGTTGCTCCGCAAGGCTGCAATTGAAGCATTGCGACTGTAAAAATGTTCTAGGATGTTCTCAAACTCAATAAATACCTGCAACTAGCTTGCCCATATGAGAGTTTTGATAACCAGTTTAACTAACTTTCAGATAATTTTTGATGGGTTTCCTATGCATTCCATGCAAAACAAACTTCATCCGTAGATCCAGGCTCGCGCTTAAAATCCAATCAATGAAGCTTGCGTTCTGCAGCAATGGCATTACCTATGGGTGCACTGGCACGCATCCGCTATGCCACTGACGAATGCGTTTTGTTTTTTTTTTCTCTCAGTACTGTTCAGCCATCTTCGTTTCAGGTACCAACAGCGCTGTTCAAAAATTATGCACCCATTTTTGTAAGAGTTCAACAAACAGACGAGGTTGACTCTATGAATCATGCTCAAAATCCTTCAATCTCTAGAAATGTTAGGATATATTAGTAAGTTCTGAACTTCCAAGTCACAGGAACTAGGTGTGCCAGAGGCAGTGCTGGGAAATACACACATTCTGGACAGCTTTGTCCATCCAGAACTTTTTGATTACATTCTGTTCCATATTCGCAATGCCCATAGAATGTCGCGCCGTCATGCAGAATTCAGAAGCGTCCTCTCAAGGATGGTCGGTAGGCCGACGCTCCCTTGTTCGGCTGTGCTAGCCTCAGTGTTAACGTGTTAGCAAGAAACTAACGCTAATCACATTGCATGCTTCGTGCATCAGTGAATAGGCTGGAATAAACCAGACCGTTTCTTACACGATAAATGTGATTCATTATAACGAGATGCGAAGTTTTCATGAAAATACGTGGCAACAAGTGCTTTTGATTATAGCCCACAACGCAGACATATAAGCTTCGCAAAGTTTTCTGTAGCCATGTAGGTTACTTAAATGCTATCATCTGGCCTTTGCAGTTGAAATTCATGTTTTACGGGCGTGTAGCTTTAGTCAGTGTTCTTGCAGTGCATGAATCACATAATATTCATGATACGTGGAAAGTCGTGCAGGCTTGCGATTTGCTCTTTGAATACTTGGCCAATGCTGCACCGCTTGTTTTTGTACGTCAGTTGATAGATGGCAGCACAATGCAAGCAACTCCCTTGTTGGTGGGTTTCAGAGCCAAAAGTTATCCGCGCCCAAATAAACGTGGTGTTTGACGCCATGTCGATGTTGTCGAAGTCGTTCAGTGGAGGGAATTCCTCAGATGGCTTTCAGCAGTAATGTTGAAAGAAATTATCTTGACCATGAGGATTTTTCACTTGGCATAGAAGGTTGTCAACGTACCTAGAGAAACAATGACAAACGATCAACTGCAAACTCGCAGGAAGTAGATTGCACTTCACCTCCCCTCGTGCAATAATGTTTTTTCACACTCATAAGTAACTTTTCATAAGTAACATATCCTTCAAAGAGGTTAAAATAAAACTATAGTTTCTCTTGTGCATTGCACGTGGCACGATTACTGTGAATATTATGGAGCGCCGCATGCTGCCAACACGTTCAAGAACGGACCAGCAAAGCGAAATTGTTAGAGCATTGAAATGTGCAGCTACCACTACAATCCATACCTCTCTTCCAACTTTTCCTGCACTTCAAGAATACTTTCCAAACAGCATTGTTCGATGAATTTCGGAACTGCGATGTTGCAAAAACGTGTGTACTCTTCTCTATAGCCCCGCCGCGGTGGTCTTGTGGCTGAGGCTGCTGACCCGCAGGTCGCAGAATCGAATCCCGGCTGCGGCGGCTGCACTTCCCATGGAGGCGGAAACGCTGTAGGCCCGTGTACTCGGATTTGGGTGCACGTCAAAGAACTCCAAGTGGGAGAAATTTCCGCAGCCCTCCACTACGGCGTCTTTCATAATCATATGGTGGTTTTGGGACATTATACCCCGCATATCGATCAATTACTCTTTTCTATAATCTTGTTTCAATCGCACTGATGAAAAATGCAATATATGAGTGCAGTGAACTAATTGCGCAAGGCTTTAGTCTGAGCATGGCTGTGACACCAGTGCCACTTAATAGAATGTTATATGCTTGTGTTCGATGAAAAAGCAACTCCATGTTCCCGAGTGTAAGTAATGACAACGGCATAATATGTTTGCAAACCATCACCGCATTAAATGTTCGGTCCCGTGCCGCTGCGATTGCACTACTCGCTAGTGGCCTCCTACTGCAGCAAATCCGTCAGGCAGTCTCAGTACATATCTCAGACTGCCCTTCAGTTCATACATCAATTCTAGTTCATGCCGTTTTCTGTAGCACGCACACGATTTTGCAAAGTGTCGTTCATGCACTGTAACAAAGCTGAAATTTAACCTTTCATGCCGCGGCAAATAATCAGGTGGCGAGCTTCCATTGTTTCAAAAAGTATTTTGATCTCATACATCCCCCCCCCCCCCAGTGCAGCTTATGACATTATCCGGTGGAAGTGACACGGTCCGTAAGTCCGCACATACTATCTGTTCTTGTTCCAGCAAATGGGTTATGGTGTACTGGAGTGGGGCTGTGTGCCCTCTTCAGGGCAAACCAATGGGACAGTGGTGGTCACTTTTATGATGATACCACCAGCAGGGCACCACCATCGAACGGTGTGTCCAGCATGCGTAATTCAAATTTGCATTGCCGACCTTTCTCCAGATTTTGAGTAAAATAGTCACATAATACGATTGAACTTAAAAAGTATCTATAAGATTAAAACACATCTAACACATATGAATGCAATAATGCGATAAATAATGCTGCTTCTGCGTAGTCAAGCTTGCATCGTCTGCTAGCTTACAGTTTTAACTGGTTTTTAACTGAAGAAAGGATAAAAAAGCACATCGCTATTCATTTGATTCATATGTACCCCTGCCTAGCTATCACACTAACTTGAAGTCACGCAACGAAATAAACGAGGGGGCCCTGAAGGATAACGTTATCAGCAGGCGAGTTCCACGACCACCACTTAACCTGCATGAGCCAGGAGAGTAAGCAGCCGCGTTGCTAAATAAAAATGACACTCGAGGACGTACTGCTTCACTTTTTTATACATTTTTCTACCAGCACGGCAACTACAAGTACGGATCTTCTTGAAGGCTTTGTATCTAAGCTGCTCATAGATTACTTCAGAGGGTGCCGACAGGTAGCCACACAGTAGTACTCCGTGCTCTGGCAGCGCTGGCCATCATCGCAAAAAGAGCCACGTCTGGGGCGCCAGGCGGCATGCTGCCCCATTCCAGTATACCATAAATAGGTTGACTCTTCTCTGGGTGCCATTTTGAATCGAACAGCGCGCCACCTATAGTTCGTGGGCATTGCGAGTAATAATGAATATTCAATTCAGCGAGGTTTTAGTTCAGTGAACAATTTCCTAGGGTGCCTTCAAGTTCACTCAAGTGAGAGTTCAGTGTAGTCAGTACTCCAGTGACATGTTTTTTTCTCCTTGCTTATTGCAAAGCACTGGAACAAAAAAGCCCTCCTTATTTACCCTGTAGATGTGCTGAGAACTTCATTTGACTTTCATGATAAAAAAAAATGAAACAAAAATGGGCAAAAAAGAACCAAAAAACACTAATGGTCGTCATTGCAATGGCTATTTAATGCAGACATTATATATTATGCTCTTAACAACTTGTCAAAATAAAGTAATTTGCACCATACACCTCTACTTCCCTGATATCCGGCAAAAAAGCAATAAAAAATTAGGTGCTTAAAGTGCCCATAAACCACCTCTGAATATACATAGAAAGAGAGTGTTATTCTCTCCTTATGCTTCCAGTTTTAGCGGCCCAATTCGTGACGCCAGCAGTGTTCATGTGATGTCAGAATGAGATAGCTCTAAATTGGTCAATGTACGAGAGATATCTGTTGCAAATGATCGCCTACCCTGCTTGCCATATGAAGTCGTCTCATGCCTGTTATGCCTTGTATCGCACTACTATTGTGCACGATAAACCGATTTCACTTCATTTTCTGCATTCATGACTGTGCAAGCAGAGATATTGTGTAGACAAAAAGCACAAAACCCTGACTAGTTCAACGCTTGGCGCTGACATAATGCATATTTTATGAAGAAATAAATGGCGAGGAGGAGCTAGCACCTTTAAGAAGGGTAGTGAAGGCGAGAAAGATGCTACTGTCTCGTCTTTAAAATCAATGTGGTTTAGGGGCTCTTTAAGTAATAGTACTAAGCTGCATAGATGCAAATTCAGCTATAATGCAAAGCTCGAAATGCTCTTTCCCCCCCTTTATTTATTTATTTATTTATTCATTGACTTATTTTAAATACTGCAAGCCCATATGGGCTATTACAGGGTTGGATTTGAGCATACAATAAAGTGAAATACAATTCTCCACAGGCTGAAGCAATAGTAATTATCATGCACGAAAAATACACTCACAAAAAAAATAAGTCACGAAAAATACAACTCTAAATTTCGATCCAAAGTAGCCAAGCTATCAATGCCACTGATCACTTCCGGACTAAGGCCATTCCATTCAGCTATTGTACAAACAACAAATTAATATTTATATGCATTAACTGTTCATGAGTTACAGCCTATAGAGTAAAAATACATGACAGTGATTGGTATGATGAGACCCTGATCTCTACATCCATTGAGATTTTTCACTCGTGGACAACACCGATTTCTCACTCCCAACCAACACATTGCATCTTCTATGACAAGCAAAGCCGGCTCTAACGTAGCCTACCCTTTCCATATTTTTTCATATATACATATATAAAAAAATTTTACCAGGTGGGAGCAGATACAGTGAGGAGTTGATTGATTTGTGGGGTTTAACGTCCTAAAACCACTATATGATTATGAGAGAAGCCGTAGTGGAGGGCTCCGGAAGTTTTGACCACCTGGGGTTCTTTAATGTGCGCCAAAATCTGAGCACACGGGCCTACAACATTTCCGCCTCCATCGGAAACGCAACTGCCACAGCCGGGATTCGATACCGCGACCTGCGGGTCAGCAGCCGAGTACCTTAGCCACTAGACCACTGCGGCGGGGCATATACAATGAGGAGTTCAAGTTTAATTTACCGGCTCACAGCTGATAAATGAATTTTATGCAGACAATTTTTGCCTGACAGCATTTGTAGTCCGGCCCTTTTTAGGAGGGCTGTTGCACATTGTACACTAAAGAAAATGCAATGTTTAATTCATTACCACATTTCAATACTACAGCTTATCTTTGCAGCATGCTTGACAAACTACACAACAGGGCTATGAGAAATCAAACTGGAAATGACATGGTGCAATATGAAGGCCCCGAACCTTAACACTGCCCGATTTACGGGATGTTCTAGCACTGAAACCATGGAAGACTAAGTTTTGCCTTTAAGGGTAATGCAATAGTGCTATGACGTCCCATTCTCATCACCTTCCGAGTTTTCCATGATTCAATTCTCAGTCTACACGTCAATCATGCTTCGAGGGAGTCTCTGTGCGCATGACATTAGCTGTTGTAGTCTCCCAAGGTGTCAACTGCAATTACAGTTGCGAAGCCTCCACCAGAAGTCTGTAAGGCAATGTACACACCTACGTGGAAATACTTTGTTGATGCTGTGGCTGATGACGAGAAATTACAACACAATTGTAATGAATTCGCAGCTTTCAACCACTCACTGATTATGCCATTCACATGGTGTGAAGCTATAAAATATTGTATCTGTTGCCGCAGCTCCTTGCCAAATATGACAACTGTGTAATCTTTTTCTGAAGCAGTTTCAAGCACTGTTGCACCTCTGTGGTAGAGTACTTGACTGTCATGCAGAATATCCAGGTTCAGTTCTATGGCTTTGACTCCGATCTTTACATCCATTGAGATTTTTCACTCGTGGACAACACCAATGTTTCACTCTTTCACTCACAACCAACACACTGCACCTTCTACAATACAAGCTCAAACGCTCTTGCATTAATACATACTACAAGATCATAGCTCACCATGCTTACACACTCCCACAGCCTACACACTCCCATTAATTTCACAAGCGCACATAGATCGTCAACTACTTGCACACCAGCTGATTGCCTGTGGCAACAAACGATGACACACAATCGAAATGTAAAAATACTTGTTACCAAGCACCTTTTGCAAGTGACTGCCGCTCAAAGATATGCGAACTGCAATATATAGTGCGCGAACTCTGGAGTTCTGAGGAGCTTATTTGAGTACGCACAAAATCAGTCTCTGAAACTGAAACTTGCTGAATTGACAATCAGCCTGAAACTTGCTTTGACAAACATGCCGCCTTATTTCATTTTCTGAATTGTTTTGCAGCGCTGTGACAGACACACATCCAAGGGGCGTGTCTGTGTACTCGACCAAACCAATAGAAACACGCGTCGCGAGATAAAGCAAGAACTAATACTTCGCAAAACAGACTAACGCAGTGTAAAGTAGGCAGCAACGCAGTTGTAGCCATGCTGCCTTACTTTGACCCAGAATGGGTGCAGATAATCGCGAGAACACGTCGCAAAGAAGCGCGGCATGCTACAGGCCTCGATCCCTCCAGCCCTCGTTGTCGTATCACTGAAGAGCATCCAGCGCTACCCTTATAGAGCAAGAAAACGCCAGCTAAACTAGCTCGCCTTGCCAGTTATTTATCCGCCGGTGCGCTTCGCCAGCGAGCGGCTGTGTGTTCGGTTTTCCAAATTATTCTGAGAGCGCCTGAAAGTTCATGTTCCGATAAGCTGCCGCGGATAGACCATGAAAATTAGACTTTACCGGGAAATAAGTCCGAAGCCTTGCATTTAAGTGGGAGCGAGTCAACAGCCGTACGCATCCCTGTCAAGCAGAACGTGTTGACAATTGTGGCTCATTGGTCTCTACTAGAAGGCCGCTAACAAGAGCATCGTACCTTGACTGGGAATTTTACATAAAAACAAACGAACCTTTGCGCCCGCGTTGTCGTTCTAAAAGAAAGAGGGAACAAGTGCGCGGTTACCTCTCTGCCAATCACAGCCACGGCAACAGCCATCGCACTTTCCTTGAAACGACGCGGCACACAAGCTTCTGTACCGGTTTCTTAGCCGCGCCGTTGAGGCATCTTTTCATGAGTTCACCACAGGACCACAACACCACAACCCCTCAAAAGGCGGGTGAGACGCGGCGACACCAGTGACACCGCAGCTCGAAGAAATCGCATCTGCCACCATGAAACTAGCCCATTAGCTGACACATTTGCCAATGGCGCAGCCAATCTGGACTGAGTGGCAAAATAATGTGCAAATGTCCTTAATTTGGTTGTTACACACGTGTTATTTTGTGTGCAACGCCTAAGTGTGTGCCTAGCGTCACAACACACCTACAGGATTCGTTGGCTGTGGCGATGTCACATCTGCCCTCCAGGTCCCACTGTCACAGCTCAAAAGGCATAAAACTCTACGCTGAAAAGCAACTTGACTACTTTCGACAGCTATGATTTTACAACGTGGATTTTACATACGACAAGCCACACCCACATGCCGCCAGCTAAAACAGAGCCAACGCAGGCGCAGATCAAAGCCCAGCCAAGACAACGCGGCAATTACGTACCCTATTTTTTCGCAAAAGAAGGTAGAACTAAAGAGTGGAGGCTAAAATGATTCGGCGCAAAGTTTGATGGAAATCGCCTACATGTTTTGCGCATCGATGGGGGAAGTAAATACATTTTTGTCGTTGTGCCTGGAAAACGACTCAACGGGAGTACGTAACTTGTTGACAAATGGTCAGTGTTTATTTTTCTTTTTAGTTCAAACTGCGTCGATTTCTTCGCGTAAAAAAAGAAGAAACTCTTGAAGTCTTACGAGTTTAAATTATTACTCTGTAATGACTAAACAACTCATTTCCAACCTTTTCCCTCGGTAAATGAATTTGTTAAATAAGCAGGGCGCCGTCTGAATCATAGCTTATCCCCCGGAGTGGGTTGCGCCAAGATGTTGAGGAACCAACCAAACAGTCGTTCCCACCGTTACAGGTATTCCAGTTGACGCTCAGGATTCCGAAGGCACTACGGGGTTGCAAATAGCATCTACAAACGGGTACAAAACGTTGGCCGAACACCTTTTGGAGCAAGGCGCCGATGTCAACTTGGCCAACAAATGCGGTTGGACACCGCTTATGCATGCTGCACAGCATGGTCAGGTGTCAGTAGTGACGCTGTTATTGAATTACGGTGCGGCCATAAATGCAACCAGCCTTCTGGGTTAGTGTTTTTACGTGTAATACTAAATGCTTTGCTTGCTCTCCACCTAAGCATGCACCGTGTGCTCTTATAAAATCTCAACTTTACCATGAATATTTTAGGTTCTTTAAATGTTATACAATGCACATATTAACTTGCTTTCCACAGAAGCACGTCATCATCGGCCCATTTTTATGTCCACTACAGATCAAAGGGCTCTCCCAATAATCTACAATTTACTTTTTCTTGTGCAAGCTGATTCCAGTTTGTACCTGCAACCTTTTCTCATTTGAAGGCGGCTTTAGTAATAAAATTTTCAAATTCAGTAGAACCATTTGCTGATATTTGGCATAGGTGGTTGTGGCAGTGCTGGCAATCAGGAAAATTGGCTCTTTATCAGTGTGTGTGTGTGCTTACTTTTCTCTGAGCAGATGTTGGCGCACTAACATTGGCTGCAGCGGGAGGTCACCATTCAACAGTGTGCCTCCTCCTAGAAGCAGGAGCAGATGTTGCAGGTGGTGGTGCCCACCCTGGCTTGGGGCTCACTCCTTTAGCTGCTGCTGCCATCAATGGACATCTGTCAATCATGGGTGTCCTACTTCAAAGGGGAGCTTCTGTAAACCAGGTGCTTCTAGCAACTGGTAAATTACCTCACTACGAAATCAAAGCTTTCTCCAAGATCTTTTTGACTGCTCTGCTGGGCCTTCACAAATAGCTCACACTTTATAAATCTAGTGAATCACATTGCTGCGAAAGAGGTTGCACCTTTAGCACAGTGGCTTGATGCACTAATTACCAGGCCACACCAGCATGTATAGATAGTTTGCACTGGCATCATCTTAGCCACTATATTGGAGGACTGTCAGTGTTGCAGAGTTGCATCTGTTGAGGTCAGGTGCAGTGTTTCTGCTGTAAGTACTCGCACAAATGTCAGTGGGGTTTTGTGGCATTGAATGCATGATCATATAGCCAACATGTTTGAGCACCAGTTCAGCAGGACGATGCATGTCTGGCATCATGTGCAAGGTATCCATGCTTCTATGATGGTAATGCCAACTAGCTATTCAAGATTGCTGTGTGTGTCACATTGCATAGTATGTTGAGACCTGAGCAAATTAACACACCAGTACGTGCTAGTTAATGTGCAGTAATATGCATATTTTGTCCAGCCTTCCCACTGGCATTGCCATTGTGATGATGGCCTCAATGAAAAGGCTTTGCTATGAGACTCCTGCACCACATATTTCAAAAGACTCAGTAAAAAAGGGTGGGGGGGGTAGTGGTAGCGTAGACTTTATTTTACAGCGAAAGCTGTTATGAGATCACAACATGGGTCGCGTGTGGTCTGCCGCCGCTAGTGTCCGTAACCACTATAGCACGGAAAAAAAAAAAGCTTGGTAAATAAAAACACTAAGGACACAGCAAGATTTAAACCCGAGTCCCGTGCATGCCAGCCCAGTTTTCTACTGCAGAACCTCGCCAGTGCTTAAAACTCCGTCGCAAACTTGCCTTAAGAAGGCTTGATGTTGGGAAAGGAATTGCATTAGTATGATTAATAAAGCATTTTAAAACAGCAAAAAAACAACCAGGCATCACACAATATGAATTTCATAACGATTGGGTTATTCAATACTCCAACCCATTACAAAAGGTTCTTATTGATCACCTATTAACTGTGGCCCATACCCACATCAGGCATTCTTCGTCGTCAGCCACTGCATAAAAAATTTGAACAAAATTCCTTGCAAGTTTGTAGCGAATACCACGCTTCTCCGAAGAATGACAAAGGATAGCATAGTGAATGCCAGCCTGCTACACAAAAATTATTACTATTCATTGTGTACCGGGTACCCAGTAACTGTGCTTGTAGCAGTTACCCAAAGGGTGTTTAGAAAAGGCTCTCCCTGCGACTGTGAAGCACGTTCTGTGCAGGCGTAGCGCTTTTTTATTAAATATATTAGTTGTGGGATACACTCATCATTGAATTTTTCTATATTGTAACGAGACATTGTGGTACATTTGTACAATGTCATGCAAATTGCATCCTTCAATTCAAAATGTGTTAATGCTGAATGAACCTTCCACTTGACCTGCAAGGTTTATCATGGTGATGGCTGAAGAAAGCATTTGTTGTAGAGATCTGCCGCAATGTCTGTTGTTGTAATGTGTCGATTGACCCTTATAGCTCTTGAAAGCTTTGCATACACTGATTCCCACAGTTCATAATATTTACATAATTTTTATTCTCGCACAGCTTTCTTGATCACTTGAACCCAGTTTTATACAGTAACTACTTGGCCATTTTCATGGGCTGATCTCTGAGGTAGTGCTTTCTAAGAACTGGCTTCTACCTGTGTTCCACGTGGCTCATAGTTACGACCACAGATTACGTACTACTGTCTACTTAAACTCAACGCCAACTCAATTTACCATATGATTTCTTCCTGTAGGTATGTGCCGCTCTTCAATTAAATCTCTTTGATACTAGCTTGGATATGTGCCTACCCTGCACACAGGTCTACTAAGTATGTGTCACTTTTCAGTGAACCTGTTTAATGCTGACTTAGACTGCTGGGTATCGTAACTCACAACACCATGCACTGCACTCCACATTATTTTGCAACAATACTGCAAAAGCATTCACCATTCAGTGCAGAACAGTCATAAGAACCATTCTCTGCCAAACTGTGAAAGTCTCGCATTAGGTAGATCTCAAATGCAGCCCCGCCACGGTGGTCTAGTGGCTAAGGTACTCGGCTGCTGACCCGCAGGTCGCGGGTTCAAATCCCGGCTGTGGCGGCTGTATTTCCGATGGAGGCGGAAATGTTGTAGGCCCGTGTACTCAGATTTGGGTGCACGTTAAAGAACCCCAGGTGGTCAAAATTTCCGGAGCCCTCCACTACGGCGTCTCTCATAATCAAATGGTGGTTTTGGGACGTTAAACCCCACAAATCAATCAAATCAAATCAGATCTCAAATGCAGTTGAGCCTGTTTGCATTGTTATTATAACTCATTTGGTACATGGTTTCTAGTGCGCCATAAAATAAGTCTGTACTTCCTGTTCAAACCTGATGAGGGAAGAAGTTTAAAATTTTTTTTTACAAACAGTAAATCCAAACATTCATTTATAAACTGTGGCTTCTGCCATGGCTAACCATAGTGTGAAATTATTGGGTACGTTTAGTGATTACCACAGGTAATCCAATTCACTTCACAACTTTCCAATGCGTGCACACTTTAAACGACTGAATGTACTACTCAGGTATAAGGCCTCAAATGTATCAACCAAACATTACCACCTTACACACCACGAGTTGTGTTTGTTAAGTATGTGCACATGCTGTGTTACTAGTAATACTAGCATTAAATTTCTTGCAAAAGTTTTCATTCTAGGCTAATTGCCATTTTATTCTATTGCATGTCAAAACACTAGAGCTTGTGAGCTGAAAAAATGTTTACCTAAACGTTATTTGATGTTGTAACTAGGCTTGTGCAAATATTTGAACGTTTTGATTTATCAAATAGATATCACAGTTATCAAATTCACTTTGGTTTGAATTTAAATTATTGAGAATTTTGAAGTATTCGAAATGAACGAATAAGTCTATAATAAACTGCATGTAATTTCTTATAAAGGTGGGTTTCACTGCAGGCAAGTGATGGTAAGTCATGAAAACACCTATCCAGGGAAATTTTGCACTGCTACAAAGTGAAGCCCCACTTTGTACCAAACAAATGGCATTCGCACAGGCCTTGTTTCAATTTTGAAAAAAAGTATTGTGTAGGTTAGTTAGGTCAGAAAAAACACACCCACTTGTATTTATGATGTGTGATTTATGCTATTTGTATTTGATTGGAAATTATTCAACCAAAATTGCTATTCGTTTCGAACCTAAAATTCACTATTTGCTCAAGCCTGGTGTTAACTCGTTGGCTTTCTTTATGCAATGAGAAAAGCAACATGTGTGTTAAATTGTATACAGTTGATAAAACACATGGAAGTGCATAAATGCTCATATTTTAAGCTGCTGCACACATGCTGCAGGCACTAGTCCTCTCATGCTGGCTGCAAGTGGTGGTCACCTTCGAGTAGCACAAATGCTCATGGACCATGGTGCTGACCCAAACCAGCAGAATATTTATGGCAATACAGCCTTGGATATTGCCACAGCTTGTTCGAACATGGAAGCAGCTGAATACCTTCGAAGCATAACACAGCTTGCATCAAGCCAAGGTGAAACTTTACAAAAGCCACCCATGATGCTAAAAAACACGTCACATGATTTCTTGTGCAAACACTGAAAAAAGGATATGTTTTTACTCTGGCGGAAAGGTGTAGGCCAACATTTAGACACAGTGGTGTAACCAACAAGCGTTACATTGCATGAAAAGCTTTTAACGCGATAGCGTTGAAGAGCTTATCCCGCGAAAATTCTGGCATCGATGTTGTTGGTTGGGAGCAAAAAATAGTCATCTTGTGCATGACTCGAAAATCGAGAAAGATGCAAATAAAAAATAAAAAATTTTGGTTTCAAGTGAGGATTTAACTTAGGTCATTTGCATGGCAAGCTGGTGTTCTACCACACAGCCACGAATATGCTTGTAGATACAGTGAACATAACTTCCTCTGTTTTGAAATGCAGTGAAAGTAACTCTCATGCTTTACACACACATGCATCCTGCATACATGCTTCACAACACGACATACTGCAGTAATAACGTATGGTACAAGCGTAAATTGCCATCGGGCATCAGAACATGTGATTATCATATTGACTTCCTGGTTTAAAGTCGGTCATTCACAATAAAAGGCACACACGTTATTGTACCTGCTCCCTTAAGGCCGTGTAGTGGGTGCATAGCAAGTTCATAAATTTCATGCACTAAGTGTTTGAGGTATGCACAAGGGACAGGATATCGATACATTCAGCTCTGAAAGGCAAACATTAAGGGTCCCCCAGTTTTTTCAGGTAGTCTCTTCCACGTTTGGTAGAAGGCGTCTCTGCTGTAATGAGGTGGTGCGCTTGTTCTGCGCAATTGGTCATCCTTTCAAGTGCTGCCAGAAAACTTGGGGCAGTAACAATTGTGCAGAAGCTTTGCATCTCTAGCTTTCTCTTCATTATGATGTCTGACAGTCGACAAGCTTGCTTAGACGGGATGCTTGCTTTCTTTCCATCGATCTGGAAAGACCCATGTCAGCTTACATATTAAAGATGATGCAAGCGACATCTTTTCCACGTGAGCTCTGATATGCTATTTCGAAGGTTTTTAGAATTTTTTGTCTTTTTATCTTGTCTGCAATAAAATTTTGTTTTGTGCAGAGGTCTACATTTGGACAAGTTTCAGGAAATATATTTTTATGCATTGTTTTTCGAACAAGAACGATTTCGTAGTTGGGGAGGATGGTGAAACAGAATAGACTCTTACGGTATTGCATATCATCACTCTCACCATTTATAAGATTGTAATTTATTAACCAAAATATGTCATGTGCAAGTGTACAAGTGCTCTTATCAAACACAATTTGCTATGATTTTGATGTAATTTCTGCACTTGTTCATGGCTGCACTGGTTCCCTGAGGTGAAACGTCTATGGTAAAACTGAATGCTAAACACAAACAACAACATGACTAAGTTTGCATTGTGCTTGTGAACCTTGCATTATGACAAAATCAGGGAGGCAAATATAGGAATGTAAGTGTTGTCATCAGATGTGATCAGATTTTTTCCTTATCCCTGTGATTGAGTAATAGATATAGGTGGATGTTTGTGATAAACTTCAGTTGTTACTTTGTGTCAAAGATGTTTGTTTTTGCCTCCATCTCTTGTGTTTTTCAGCCTAATTATGGAGTACAAGCTCACCGAGTGTTTAATACTTTTTTTGCAAGTTTATGGCATGAAAAGATACACATACGTTATGTTGAACAATTAATAAAGGGATATGTATGCACTTGTGGCTTGAAATTGCTACCGAAGAGTTGATTTATGATGAGTCAGAAAATCAATTGGTCATTGCCATACTTATTGTTTTAGTTAATTGGATTCACATACATAGTCTAATTGTTAAAGACATTCAGCGCTAAACTAGTTATATCAAAGTTTAGTGCATTTGAGTTATTCCACATGTTTCTGATAAAACTCGTGAGTGCATAAGCTGTTTGATTAACTTTGTCTTTTTGCAGAGTACAATCCAACCATTGGTGATGTCTTCAGTGCTATTTCAGAGGGTAAGTTACTCATTTTGCTGTCATGAAAGTTGTGTGCACATAGTATACATTCAGAACACCACATTAAAAAGAAGTAAAGTTAAAATATCGTTTGAAAAAAGCTGTTATTCTTGAAAAAATTGTCGGATATACTGCGAAATACCGAGCAAGGGTCTCTTTTTGGGAGAATCGAAATATGTGCCAGTGACTGAGCAAGCACCTGCCCGCTTCTCTCCACTCTGCTTTTTTTTTCTGACCTGTTCTTCATTGCAGAATCCTTCAGCAGTGGTGCTGAGGGTCTTTAGATATATGCATGATTTATTAGTATGTTTACATTGTGGTGCCATGTAGTTCCATTCTGAGCTGCCACAAATTCTCCGAATATTTGAAGAACATCTTTCCCCCTTGTTATAACTCGCGAAATTTCACACAAGAATTCCTTCTGGTTCAGTAAAAACAGTATGTGCATCTGTATTCTGTGTACCATTTTGTTAGGAACATGGGTGTGCATTCTTCTTAGAGGCTCCACGGCCGCTATCTTGAATTTTACTCTGTGACGTTCCAAACTCGTCAAAATATTTTTCACCGTAGGGGGTGCGCTTGCTCAGAATTTTATGATACTCACATGGATAGGCTACAACTCCATACTTTATGCAACTTTTAAACAAGAAAGAGCTCACACATACATAGTGCATAAAAATAGTCTAATGAAAAGGAAACATATGACCATTATGATGTGTTCATATTATATTCTATTATGCAATGATTTGTTTTTGCCGAGTGCATGTGTGTGTATGTGCAAGTGCTATGCATGAGTCATTTAGTGCTAATTATACATTACTTTCTGTCATGCTATGCTTCTAAGGTAAGCATTTCTTTTACTCACAGTAACAGTGTGCACATCTTTTTCTGATTTATAATGGTTGTAATGCTGCCAGTATCATACCATTACAAGTTATTACTGCAACATACCAAGTAATTTAGGTGATCATGTAATAAAACATGTACAGATAATTTCAGCCCATGCTTCTCACATGTCCGTCTCGAGAGCACACTGAGCGATCAGTAGAATAGCAGATATCATGCAATGGTTTCTTTTTAATAAACTTCTTACATTTGGGCTATCCCATTCTTGGGGCACGCCGACATTGCACCATTTGAGTGAGCAGCATACAGTAGTGCTTTGAAGGTGCACATGTCATTGTAACGCTTGCCAAATAGATTCAACAAAATGCTAGTTGCACTGAAGAAAAAGCACATGAGACATGGTGCAATTCAATGTTGGAGGATTGTTGACAGGATCCTGCACTTTGCGAGCACAGCATTGCTCCTAATGTTGCTAGCCTTACTTTGTCAGGTATTCTAGTTTGCTGCTGTCACATTAATTGCTTCACCATTCTCTTGAAACTGTCGATTTTTTTTTTCAACATGCCTCATGCATTCTTGTTGTGGTCAGTGTATCTCACACTGTGTAGTATTCACCTGATTTGGTGTTTTGTTTTGGCAAAGCTTTCGAGAAACATAACTTAGAAGCATGGAGGTTTGGGCTAGTTGGTAGGGCGTGACGATTGCTATAGCGTGAGCTCAGAACGTCTTCTTGTCTCTTTGTCGTCGTTCTGAGCTCGCGCTATAACAATTGTTCTTTAGAGAAACCCTGTGTGCACAAAAATTGCATGATGTTAAGGTTGTCACCTGTGCATGGCATATTCACAGTTATTACATAATGTTCCTACTTGTTTCATTGGATCAAATTAAATGTAGCTGTATTTGTTAGTATTATATAAAATTTTCTAATGGCTTTGCTAATTCTTTACTTCAAACAGGTTTGCACATGTATGTTGCAGATGCATAACACTCTCTGTAACCACTTCATTCATGGTTTTTGCAGTCAGTTAATTGCTATTTCATAATTTTTCACCTAATTAGAACTTTGGTATGTTATTTTTTCAAGGCAACTTGAAGGAACTGAAGAGACTCTTGAAGGATCATCCATCAAGTGCTAACTGGTGCGACCTGAAGAAGGGCACGACTCCCTTAATACATGCTGTTATACTGGGCTGCATGGATGCTGTCACATTTTTGGTAAAAAACAATGTGGACCTGGATATACAAGACCACACAGCTGGTTGGACAGCACTCATGCATGCTGTATATCAAGGGTATGATGTCGTATTCTCTATTTCATGTCTGTTTTTCTGCTGCAACTTTTCTTGGTTCCTTCAAATGCACATTTCTCTTTCTTTTCGACAGGAATGTCAACATTGTGCGCTATCTCATTAGCTCAGGTGCTGATGTCGGTGTAGAAGCTTTCAATGGCGCTACTGCTCTTGACATTGCTTGTTACCTTGGTCAGTGGAGCTCCCATGTTTACTTTTGCATGTGGCACAATATAGTGTGCGATGGTATTACGGATGTGGAAGTTTTCACTGTCATTCTGGTTCCAGAGAATGGAGATGCCAGAATTATTCGGATGCTGGCTGACCAGATAGTTGCCTGCACATTAACACCAGGGAACGAGAGGTACCCTGTGGAAGCAGTTGCCATTTTTTTCTCATCTTTAAGAAACTTCAGCTACTAAACATGTTATGCATGATATTAAGCTCGTGGTCAATAATTTAACTAGTAAATAACTTTCAGAAGACAAAGTACCTCTCAGCACTTCAAGGCATTTAAGGTGAGAAACTATTTTAGATTTTTTTCTTAGGGATCACTTTTAGTTTTGTGGTAGTACAACTGCTAGACCGAAAGCTGCACCATCTTCTGCATTCGTGGCGTCAGAGGAAACTGTTATGTTATAATCAGTTACTCTATGTATAGATGTTTACAACTTACATTGGTAAATGACTAATGAAAACTGAGCTTGCTACTCAAACTCTTTTTTTTTTTTGTAATATTCACTCTAGAGTAATGAAGTTTGTGCTATACATGCTAATATTAAAGATGTAAGCAGTTTTACAGTGAGTTGCATATTTTTTTGTTTTGTATAATGACTGTGTAAAATGTACACCTTTTTGCTATCACTTTTTTTATAACTAACTTCCATACCTAAACGTCATGAATGCATCATATATTTTGCCATCAACTGTAGAGTGCTCATAAATTACAAGAGAGTGCATAGAGAATTTTTTGAGGAGCACAGAAAATTAAAACCTGGAAAGTCTTAAAATGTTCTGACCCCAGTAGTCTGGTAAATGAAATTAATAATAAGTGCATAAGTGATATCAAAGCTTAAGGAAGATAACAACACTCCCCAAATGGTAAAGAAAGCTTGGGAAAAATTTTTGTCCAGATAGGGTCATCGGAAGTACAAAAAAAAGAATGGGCAAACTAAAGAAGGTGTCAAAAATACCATCTTAACAAAAGTGCACTTTAAAATTGAAACGTTGTGATGTGGAGAAAATATGTATCTTTGTTATTATTTCTTTCTGCATTGTACCTTGTAAATCATGGTTATATTTAGAATGTGATGGTGGTCAACGTCTCATGCGAACTTCAATGGAAAAGAGCCATGTGATGATAGCTAAGAATGTGCAGTTTCCATCTAATTGCTGCCAGCTTGTGCTCCTTTAACCTGGTTTTAACCTACTTCCTGTTTAAATTCAGCCTTGATTTTTATTGTCATGAAAGTAAAAAAACGTGAACTTAACAGTGCAAGTAAAAACTGAATATCTTATTTACAAATAAAAAAAAGTTTTTGAATAGCATATTCCTTTTAGAAGCAGCAACAGTTGTTGCTAGCCCATTGTGTACATTAGAAAACTTTTTACCCTAATTAATAACAAAAAACATTTTATGTAGAAAGAGTGTTCTGGACCATATTTAAAGCTGTACTGATATGAGAGTTTTCAGTTGTATTTTTTATGTTTTGGGATTAAATGAAAGGTCAAGTTTTTAAAAGCCTAGAAGATGTACTGGTAATTGTGAGTGCAACCTTAAAACATGTTTACAACATGCTTTTAAAAGCTAGTTTTGGTTGTAATATATCCTGAAGTTTGAAGACGATGTGAGCTTCTCGTCACATGCTCACACAAGATATCATGACATTTCCATGACTGTCTGCTCTGTGGCTCTTTTATGGCACATAAGTGGCCAATTTGTGTGTTGTGATACCTGGTGTCTCAAGTCACCAGAATTAACGCTGTAGCCTGACGTCACACTAGTGTTGATGTCAATGAGTTCCCCATGTGAAAGTTGACTTCATCTTGAATTGTCTCTGCACACAGGAGATTTCTATGGCAGTGAAAAGTTAACTTCGAAGACTGGTGTCAGTACCTCTTCAAGAGGGGCTGCTTAGTTTGATAATTTAAAGGCACTTGCAAGGGAGACTTGTGATGCGATTTTTTTCATGTTGTGCTGTTATAGCTCATATGTTTTTTTTTTAATATTATTTCATTTTATATGCTACGAATAGGGCTGGATTGGTCATGTAACACAAAAACTGACACCATGGAAAGGTAGGCAGTTAATGCAAAAAAGTGTCAGCCAAACAGCCAACCCGCCTAGTTCTTTGACTTCGGACCTGGACTCACTGAAAACATCACCAAGGCCTAGCACACTGCCTGCTTTGGACATTGACTTCACATCTCCAGAAATAGTAAGTTGAAAAAAAAATAAATAAAACTAATTGCAAGACCATCACCTTCATTCGACTATAGTAATTGTGTGATGAAATGTTTTAGACAAAGAAAACAGATAGATATACAAAACACTGTGTTTTCAACAGCCTTTATGATATATGAAGTGAAGTTTATTTTCCTTCCATACAAAGGAGCAACCGGAGGCTAAAGGCTGGAATGCCTGACAAAGGCCTCGGTGCCCTTGTACAGGCTTCAGCTCCCTTGTACAAGGGCTCCCCTGTATACAGCTCCATTGTATATAGACAGCTTTCATTGAAGTGAAGAAATAAACACTGAGGGAAAACCAGCTCCTACAGATTGCCATAGCAGCAAGCCCACACAACACACATTGGCACTAGCAGAGCTTTCATGAACTCGTAGTGATTTCTGCACGGCCAGCAGACTCACTTTTACACTGTGTAATATCTGAATACATGAATAATCTGATATATATAATGTTAGTGCTGTAGATATTTCAGCTTTAATCTTGGAGTGTATTTCAGCACCTAGTATTGCATGCAAATACAGCATGACTGCATGTCAGAGGCCATATGGTCCACTTTTTAAAATGTACCGATACCTACATTAAAACCATATAACTAAAATGCATATTTTTTACTCATAAAATAATCACAATTAGGAAATATGAAAGTTCACAAACACTTGTAAGATACTATACAGTTTAATTTAGCAATAAAGTTACTCATTCATTAATATGTTTTATGTCATTGGCATTATCATTACATCACGACATAACAAATTTCCATTGTAAAAATGCTAGGTGTGTCATTGTTCATAAAAAAAATAATAAGAGCAATTATTAAAGTGATGCGCATGTGTAGCAGGTGCAGTGATTACAAACAGTATGAGAAAATGACTTATGCCATAATATATCTACCTCTGGTACACCTAAAACAAAACTGGTTTGTAAAAAAAAACCCATAGTAAATCATTACAGCAATCTGGCTTCGAATTTTTTTTCTACATGAAAAATGTCACGTTGTTACTCAGTATTCAAAGCAATATAACTTGGATGCATTGTCAACTTGACAAAAATATTGGGCCTAATGGGATTTGTTAGGTAGACCTATAATGGTAAAAAGTTACTGCCAGATACATATTCTAGAGCAAATGTAGTCACTTCTGATGTACTAGTTTGGTCTTCCCTTTGACAGTAGAGTATATGCCACCAAATGACAGTTATTTCCTATTTGACATACCTTGTCTTTCTGCAGACTTTTCCTGAAGTAGATGCTGTATTCAGAGCAGCACCTCCGTCACTTCCAAACTACGCAAAAATGCTTGAAGCCACCCCAGCAGCTATGCCTGATGATACTGCCCAAGCACAAACACAGAAGGTACAGCTGTATATCAAAAGATCAATAAAGAATGAGCTGTTATGGACAAACATTCACTTTTCATGCAGATTATGAGAAAGGCCACTGAACCAATTTTTCTTCGACATTTGAAACCACCTCCCTGCAATAAGCCAGGGCCCCCAGGTATGTGAAATAGATTACTCCTTCTTTACGTACTTGTTTGCCTTTCGAGCCTACATATGAAAATGCACTGATGTGAAGAAACTAGTCTGTGCCCTCAATACCTTGTTTCAAGTTGTGAAAAAAAAAAATGGCAGCATATCTATGGGGTGAATGATGGAGAGTGGGGCGAAGCATCCATCCGTTCATTCGTTCTTGCTTCCGTCCGTCTGTGTGACTGTCCGTGCATCCATCCGTGCGTTCGTCCATGCATTCACCCTTGCATCCGTCTATGCGTCCATCTGTCTGTGCAGCCATCCGTGCGTCCGTTCATGCATCTGTCTGTGTGTCCGTTCGTCCATCTAGTCAACACTCCAAGTACCACCATCTCGCATCTTTTCATCATATATTCCGCATATAGAAGCACCGCCATCCAGCGAACATTCCAAGGACTAAACGAGAGGTAGCACACGCACACTTTCTTACGGCTTGCGCTTCGTGTCCATTTCCCACCTTTAACCACCTCGAGTTCATGGTATATACTAGTCCACTGTATTCATGGCACTGCGGCCCAACGCTCGCTAAACCTTTCTAAAACCAAGGAGGTTACGCCCAGCGAGTATAACGTAGCAACCCTTTCTTGTCAGATAGTGCTCAATGTACATGCCAATGGCTGCTGATGGGTAATGAGAGACACGAGAATTCGGCTTTTAGTTAACGCACACGCTGCTAATATTTTATTGTTCAACAATGTACAGGAGAAATCTCTCACTGGCACCACCTTGCAGGTCAAAGTGTAAGACATGTTACGTACTAGGACAAGGGACGAACGGGTGCCGCTTTCAGGAGCTTCGCCCCTAAAAATATGAAGTAGTGCAGCGGACTAGATAAATGCAAGTTGCTTCAACAAAATGCTAGGTGAACAAAATGTCAACTTTCGTGAGCCATCCACAAGCACTGTGTTAACGAACTTTCATTAAATAGAATGCACCTTTATGTAAACAGCACTTCAATTAAAACTACCACCCACCTCGTCAGTGTATGAACCATGCGAAGTGCAACAAAGTTGTTCAGTGGCGACCTTGTAAATAGTGAATAAAATTCAATCCAGAAGATAGTTGTTGGAAAGTTAAATTGAAGATCTAAAAGTGTGAAAGGTTGATCTATAAATAGGATTTTTCTAGATACATAATTTCCTGAGAATTGAGGATTGTTCAAGCACATAACTGCTTTTCGCATTCGTTCTCATTATCAAATCTGACATAACAGATGTGAAAAGTTCATCTTTCTTTTGAATAAATCACAATTAGACATGAAAGGCTGCATTTCCTAGTGATTCGAAATGGTAGCCATCTCATATTTATTCTTGCCAAATCATTAGCATTAGCCATACCTCACGCAAATTAGAATATTTAAAATGATGTGGAAACTGGGCATGTTGAAGCTGCATCCGATGTCTCGTGCCTAGTTGTGATATTCTCCATAAGCTTTTGTTCAATTTTTGTGACGATGCATTGGTGTTTAGCAAACTGATGTTGGCTTTCACAACAGGTAATGAAAAAATATCCAAAGTAAATATTTTAAGTAATCACTTCAGAGTTAAATTTAGGACTGAATGGACCCATTAGGTAAGGTGGGTCTGAGGATGACACGATTCTGGAAGATGAAAGCAGCATCGGGCAGATACGATTCAGGCTGCAACTCCTGCCAGATACAGTAGATACCTCAATGGATGCCCTTGTGAGGAAACAGTTGGATATTTTGTCATTGAGGTTCCTGAAAAATGCTGCAACTCTTTGTTACTATTCTTGTCATAACAGGTTGCAAGATGTGTCATTGAAAGCCTACGTTTAAGACACTACAGTATCAGCAGGAGAGCACAGTAAAATCTGCTTAATTTCACTGCAGAAATACTAAATCACTCGAGTGCTTTTGGATAAAATAGTTAGTCCTTTGCTTAACAACACCAAGGATGAAAAGAAGTCATTTTCTTTTATTTTTTGTTCTGAGTTTCATTGCGGCAGAATTTACAGTAGTGTGCGTCACATAATAAATTGCTATAAAAACTTTTAATGGCTTTTTTCATTATAATAGACTCGGTGTTTCATTTTTCAAACTCATTAGGTGCTAAGAAATCACCCAAAGGATTGGTTGTCCGAATAAAAAAAATTTGCATGCCTTTTTAATGTTTTCAAGAAATCAGATTATCACAGCCACACAGAAATTACCTGCAAAAGCCTGTTAGTACAGTTATTAGGCATCTTGGTGCTCTTTCTATAACAGGAAACAATAGGTTATTTGATGCATAATTAGGCAACTTATTATGTCCAGTAGAACTGGTCCCATTCCATTATGGAGTGAGCATTACTAACCAAACATCTTAATTCACTATGCATTCTCAAAACTGTCAAAAATCATGTCTGCAGTGAAATGGGGCTTTTACATATTACAGAAAAAGAAAAGGGTAACCATTTAGAAGAAACAGTAGCAAGCTGTCTAATCTCTTTGTGGGTTAGATCGGAAACAAGTGGATTTAAGAACAAAACTGCATAATTTATTTAGTAGTAATTGGTACACTTTAACACAAAAGTGTTTTATGCCGGAGTTCACCATGGTTTCACTGACGTACTTCCGTCACGGAAGTGACGTTAAAAAATATATTATATACTAAGAGATTCGAAAGAAAAAAAACAACATAAGGAAAACAACTGTCGTGCAAAATCGAACCAGCAACCTCTCAATTCTCAGCACGCAGTGCTAACCACTAGGCCATAAAGGGTACGTTGTCAGAAGAGCTAATGGCAAGCTATTTATATACACCATACATTGTTCGACAGTCCTCGGAGCTTCAAAACTTGCACGTTTTCGTACATCAGTGGCGAAATGGTGCGACAGGCTCATGTTCGGCACACTCTAAAGGTCGTCACCTTCACGGAGCGTGGTCTCACCTGCGCACGCGCTTGCTTATCAGACTTGTATTCGGGAGAGTACCAAGGCCACTGTACATGCTGCCACGGCTGCGCTTACGAAAGGAGTGCGCTGTTGACACATAATGCAGGAAGAATAGTGACAGCTGTCCGCGCTTGTCCTGTGTATATTCGTGCGCTCATTTCGTGTGTCTTTCTGTTTGAACAGCGCGCTTTGAATGTCGAGCTGTGACGGTTGTTAGTCCGCACTTGTTCTGTGCATGCAAATTTCACACGTGCTTGCCGTCCATAATGTGACTTTTCAATTTGTTGCTGTTGCTGAAACAATGCACAATAAATGCTCAACTACTTCTGTAAAAACAAGTTTCACTTTCGTGTTATGCCGATTCCTATGTGGGTGGATCAACCACATTTTTTTCTTTAACGCATATCCTTTTCTAGTTTCAGCGTTTAAGTGTGCAATAGCTTTAATTTAAATGTTGCATATAACACTTACATGTTAATTTTTTTCCCATTTCAGGTGTAACTGAAATTCTACAACAACTAGGTCTAGACAAATATGTTCAAAACTTTGAACAAAATGAGGTAGGGCCTGGCATACTTGCATGACCATGAAACCTCACTGGCTTTTAATTTGTAGGTTGACTGGGAAGTATTTGTGAATCTAGACCCAAAGGGCATGGAAGAAATTGGTATTAAAACAGAAGCAAGCAGAGAAGCACTACTGGAAGCCATCAGCCAACTGCAAAAACATAGGCCCACTTAAAAATTTGTAAAATCTCTGGTTGTACAAGCCAACCAAGCAAACGTTGTGGTCATCTTCACTGCTACACAACATTTGCATTTGCCAAGACAATAAAATATACTTAAAATTCAAGTAACTTTGCTGTGCCTTTATTAGCATTTGTAGCGCAATAAGGCATCTTGAGCCAATCCATGTGTAGGCTACAGCAGCTGTAATTAATAGTCAAGCGAAAGGCCACCAAGTGCTCCTGAAGGGGCATCTGTCTCCATATCATCTGTCTGCACGTCTGCTCTCAGCATCTTCCGACCTTCAAAGCAGCTCAACGCAGTCCATTCCTTGAGGTCAATCACTGAAAATCCAAGCGATTTGTCGTCGCCTCCAATGGCTATCACAAAAGGTTCATCTGGAGAGCTGGCAAGTGTAAGCACTGTCCCAACAGTCAGATCCTCCTTTTCAAAGACAAACACTGGTTTGTGATCTAATACATCCCACACCTTCAACGTTTTGTCTTCCGACGCTGTGACGAGACATCCCGGACAGTAAGCGCTCAGTGCCATGCCACTGACACCTTTACTGTGTGCCGAGAGTGTGAATACGGCTTGGTCTGTGCGAGCGTCAAAACTATAGACAAAACCACTGTCTGTACTAACGTAGAAGTAAAATGGATCAAAGTGATTCCACAAGACTTTTTCTACCTCGCCTTTAACAGTCCACGACTTGAAGCTGGCGTCGGTATTTCGGCAGTCCCAAAGCTTGACAGTATTGTCACATGCACCTGTTAGCAATGTGTGGCTTTCGAAGGGATGCCAAGAAACAGACTGAACTTTCTCTTTGTGTGCTGAGAGGCACCTGGCTGGAACACCTGCGTCCAAGTCCCACACGAGTGCTTTGTTATCAGCAGATCCACTAGCGAGCAAATGCCGAACTTGCTTATTCCACGACAGGCTAAGGACGGCATCAGTGTGACCGAGTGCTGCTTTTTTCTTCTTCGCTTTTTTTCCCAACTTGTAAGCTGGCTCCAACGTGTCGACAAGGTCCAAGTCCCAAACATTGATTACGGGAGTCATGTCCCCCACGGCTAAGTAATTGCCAGGATTCGCATCCGCAGGATCAAAATTCATCCATTCCAAACAAAGCGGATAAGCAGGCAGCATAATGTCATGGTGCACGTAAAGGTGCTCTTCCTGGTGGTTGTTGACGTACACCTCAATGGTAGCGCACGTATCTTCATCCACACGGGCCACAGCAATCAAGTTGTCGGTGCATCTTATGGTGAAGTCGTCTATTTCTTCTTCGCTATCTTCGGCATCTTGCGGGTCCAAATAGGGGTCGTCTGCGTTGTTTGCGTACACAGCAAGTTCGGCAAGATTGCCCACTTGCGCCGAACTGTCTTCTTCATCATAAGTGTCCAGACCATACTTTTCCGTAATGTCATCGTCACATGCTCCTTCTTTGGTGTCTTCCATGTCGCCCTCACTGTCCACATTCTTGCTGTTGTTCGAAACACCTCTTTCGATCAGCTCTTTGAGCTGTTCACTGAGCAATTTTACTTTCTCGGGGTGCGCCTTGGCTACTCCTCGAGGAACCCAAGCAACACACGGCACAAAATTCATTGCTAATTTGGATGCGCTTACCACGAATGACGAACACGCGGACAGCAAGACGACAAGGTGGTTGTGCTAATTTGGATTGGATTGTATGCTGTTGGATTGTTGTAAGAGGCAAAAAATCTTCGTCCATAATCACAAAATTTTAGTGAGAAACTCTATGTAATCGAGAGTGCCGTAGGCACAATCATTATAGTTTACTACGTTTTTACAAACAAGATATTGGTTACACCAATTCACTTTGTCACAAACAAAATTTTTTATCGCGCAGAGTTTTAAACCACACCAACGCCTCCCCTAGAAGATGCCTGCCGCATGAGAAGAAAAACGGCTTTTTCTCTCCTTTATTTTAAAATGTTCTCGGTCGCTAGCGTCACCTGTGGCGGACGGTGCAACAACGCAACACTTTGCATAGCCTCCAAATTAGCAGTGTACAGTTGCAGGTCTCGAACAGCTCTCGACTGCCGCGCCCCTATGGGCCGCAGATGAAGAACGCTTAGCTGGCAGCGTGGTACCGCCGGCGCCCGTGGGCCGTTGTCGTGATAATAGATAGAATAATGAATTAATATGGCTGTACCCTTTAGATTGGGCGGTGGCTAGCGTCACCAAGCCGTAATACTTAATGAACCAAACACTAAATTTATTTTTTTTCCTTTAAAAAGTGAGTTTGAGGATTCGTACTTTGCAGTGAAGAGTTTAATTTTCACTCGTGCCTTGACTTTAGCCATCAATCAGATAACCTCCTTCTAGTTAAGTCTACCCACTTAATGTCTATTTTGCCCTCCCGGTTCCTAAACCCCAGTGCTTTGAAAAACTCTGCGCCATCATCCTGAACTATAGGGCGAAGTCCTTTACAGAACATTATCTAGTGTTCGGCAGTTTCTTCTTCCTCTCCACACGCACTGCATACTGTGTCTACACCTTCGTATTTGGCCCGATATGTCTTGGTTCGCAGTACTCCCGTCCTGGCCTCAAACAGTAGAGAACTACCCCGAGTATTATCATAGATCCTTTCCTTGGCAATTTCCTCCTTAAAAGTTCGATAGATATCTAGTGCGGACTTCTTAATCATGCCCATTCTCCACATGTCAGTCTCCGTTTCCTTCACTTTCTTCTTAACCGATAGTTCTTTTTGGTTTGGCCAGCTGCTGTTTTCTAAGTATTTACCAGTCAACTTCCTGGTTCACTTCCTCCATTTTGTATCGACATTCTTCATGTACAAGTAGCTGAAAACCTTCCTAGCCCAACGCTCCTCCCCCATTTATCTCAATCGCTTCTCAAATTTTATCTTGCTGCTAGCTTCCCTGCCCTCAAATGATGTCCATCCCATATCACCTTGTACTCCCTGATTTGGTGTATTCCCGTGAGCTCCTAAAGCAAGCCTACCTATTCCACGTTGCTTAATTTCTAATCTTGCTTGAACTTCTCGGTCGCGAGCGCCACTGCGCGGCGCTTGCTCAAAACTGAAGGCAGGCCAACTCCACTGGGAGCGCGAGCCATTCCCTAGGGGAGGCGTTGACCACACAAACGTGCGGATTGGAAGTCGAAAGTAGCCGAAACCGTATATACCAGCTGGTTGACTAAGCGTTAGGTCAGCGCTCATTTGGAAGCTTTGTATTTTGTTGCCTAGTAATCAGCTGGCTTATAATTGATGCTGGAATCATATTGATGTGTCGTTAAAAATCCAGGAGAACTCATTTTGAATAATACAAATTCAGCAATTAATACGAGACGCACGGACAAGCTTTAGGTGGTACTGTATGTTGCGGCGGAACTGCTTGTTATGGCAGAGCTGCCTCAGCTGGGTAAACACTGTCACGTGGAATCATGCAATCGTTTAGGTGAGTGGATGTCCTCTTCTACTTATCTTCTTTATTCCCAGTTTTCTGAAAGCGCGCAACGCGCCAACGATGATTCATGAGCATGCACAGTCCCTGCCTTTGTACTACGTTTTGTGAAACATCTAATGGTATGACACTGGTGTACGCTGGAACTCATGATATGTTTTTTTTCAGTGTTTGTGTGCCTCAACTGAGGTTTGCATGCACAAATTTGGTGCTGAGTTGTTTTTTCTTCTTTTCTTTTTGCGGACGCATGTACCGAAACCACGTTATTAGTTACGAGAACTTGATGTATTACTCAGCGATTTCTGTTTCCAGATTTTTTGCCTTTTGAATGTGTGCACTGCAAGAACACCTTTTGGTAAGTCTTGAAAATTTTGTCGCAGCCACTATACACTTCCATCACACGTACGATCAGTGTGCTCACGCATTATTTTTTGCACCCCCGTCAACAGCAGTGACCACCGCACATCGGATGCGCATGTGTGCGATCAAGTGCAGGTACGCGAATAATTCATTTTATTTATCGCCACATTGGGTATGTCATTGCACTCTTATGTGTTTTGTGGCCATTCTCTGTCTAGGCACACATTCTATCTGACAAGGAGGCCAAGTGCAGTAGGACTGGAACGCTTTTCGGATGCACATTTAGCGAGTGCACACAAAAAGAACTCACTCCTATAGCCTGTGGATTATGTGCCGCTAATTTTTGCGTGCGGCACCGACACGCTCAAGACCACAAATGCAAATGTCTCCAACCAGTGTCGGAGCACATGCCTCTCACCACAAAGGTAGTCCAGAAAATACTGGGTAAGCGTATACTGCAGGAGACATCTTGGTTTTGCACTTAATTATTTGTTATTGTCTTTGCCCGTAACTGACACAGAGAAAACTGTCATGGGCGACTTTCACTTCGCAAAATGATTTTATTGATGGTGTCGTGTATATTTGGGTACAGTGTGGGTCATTTAGGAGACTAAAAATCTTTTGCAAAGAACCTTTCCTCGGGATTGTGACAACAATTATTCTTAAAGGGGCCCTGCAACACTTTTTAGCATGGACAGAAAATGCTGCCAATCGGTAGTTAAGGCTCCCAAAAACACACAAGCCAAATATTATCACACAGTACATGGCTTGGAATTCACAATATGTTCTCAAATTCAGCTGAAAACCGCTCTCTCTTTTCTGGACAAATGACACTACAAACTCAAAAATCACTCTAATTTGTAGGTTTAACGTCCCAAAACGACGATATGAGAGAAGCTGTAGCGGAGGGCTCCGGAAATTTCGATCACCTGGGGTTTTTTAACGTGCACCCAAATCTGAGCACACGAGCCTACATTTCCGCCTCCATCGGAAATGCAGCCGCCGCAGCCGGGATTCGATCCCGCGACCTGCAGGTCAGCAGCCGAGAACCTTAGCCACTATACCAACGCGGCAGGGCTCAAAAGTCACTCTGTCAAAGGCCAAGTATCAGTCACTGGCTGATATAAGCATGGCGCGCTCAGCCGTCATTGGGGCCGCAGCTTGTTCATGCTTGCATGCACAATGACTCTGAAAAGTTGCACATTTGCAGAAAAGAAAGAGAGAGAAAAAGTGCTCAAGGTCATAAGGCGCGTGACATATTTTCTTCCCCTGTGTCAACCCTGGTGCTTAGCTTCCAGCACTTTCGTCGGGACTAGAGAAGAGAGAATGCAATTTTAGCGTGTGACAAATCTTTGTAACTCTGCTTGTTCTGGACGAATTCTAAAAATTTTTGCAGCAGTGAATTCTTGAGGCAATGAGCTCTTTTAGTGAATCCATTCCATGGCTACTTGGAAAAGTGTTGCTGGGCCTCCTTTAAAGGGCTCCTTACCAGGCCCCATAACAAATTTCACTCAAAACGGAGGCAGTTGTTGTACGCATGATGAAAAGCATTATGCTGCGAGAATTTCTTTCAATCGGTTCATTATGAGCTGAGAAAACTGGTATTTTGAGCCGGTGCAAAACCAGGATGCGAGGACGCAAGCTCGAAATCTTTGCCGCTCGCCCCGCGTAGCCTTCGCAAGCCAAATCCCCTCCCTACCCTCTCTGGCATCCAAGCGGCAGGAATACATCATGCGCACATCAGGGCACGTGCACATGACGAGCTTGAGCAAGCCCCTGAGCATGTGTCTGGCGTTGTTTTGCTGATTAGCGTTATCTTGTAGTCTACTGTCTTGCCATTCATCAGGCATGCAACCTGTTACCGAGCACAAAATTGAGACATTTCACTGGCGTGAAAGTATCACTATCATGAGCCAGTTCCACGCTAATGTTTACTTGGGCGCGGCAGAAAAATGAGCACAATGAGTGCCCCACAATGAGTGCCAGAACATTACTTTCGTTTCCAGTGCTGACGTCTGCTCGATGCGTTAACTGCGGGGACACGAACGAATGCGAAATAGAGGCACATTATTCATTTATTTTATTTATTTATTTTTAAATACTCTCCATGACATTTGCGGCGTCACAGAGAGGAGTGGTGTTACAAGTCAGAAATTGCAGTCTTGAATGATGCACCATCAGGGTTGCTGGCAATGTATGCAGGAAGGTAGTTCCATTCAGATGAAGTCTTGGGCACATAGGAATGGAAGGAGATGTTGGTATAGCAGAATGGCACATGAACTTTGAAGTTGTGCTCCATGCGAGATGGAGACGTAAGAAGGTGGCAAGAACAATGTGCGTTTTATTTCATGAGTCATGAAAAACATTTTGTGGAAGAGGCATAGGCAGGCCTGCTTCCTTCTGTTAGAAAGGGTAGGGCGGTTGAGAGAAGTTTTTATTGATGAGATATCTGTATCACTCATATCAGCCCCTCATATCACTGTAATTCATGAAGGGAACAATGAAACAGATTCATATATTCTTTGTGTATCTTATTATTTGTTTCAAGCTTTATCCATTTGTTCAAGCAACAAATTGCACATAATACAGACGTGTCAAATATTTTTTGCTGTGTCAGGTGCTACTGTTAGCGATGTCAGAGCACAGTTGTCTTTGTAAAGGACCGACGTCACAGCACTACTGTATATGTAGGGCAATTCCATTGTGTACGTCATCCCCAGATTCTCTGTGTGCAGCTTGATATTTGACCCGTTTCTGTATCACTTAGCATTGCGAATATTGGCAGACGCGATCGTGAATGCCCAATGTATGCATGGTGCTCATCAGCTCAAAATTGTCAAACCTGGTGAGGGGCCCTTTAAGACAGCTGCTGCGAAAAATCAGGACATATTAAAGGCCATATTGGTTCAGCAAAACATATTAAATTTATTGCAAACATTGACACACCAAGTGGACTGCACAACATATGCACCTCGTGGTTGTTACTGTGATACAAGGCACAAGGACCATTCCATGCTGAGAATTTGTGCAATCTAGGCCAATTCCCACTCCCAGCAAACAGCAGTGGTGGTGCCTTTTGCACTTTCACATGTCAAACCATGACTTTTTTTTTTTTTTTTGAGATTTTTAAAAAAGAAACTCTGATTCAAATTTCATTGATTGATTTGCGGGGTTTAACGTACCAAAACCAAGATTAATTATGGAGACGCCGTAGTGGAGGGCTCCAGAAATTTCAACCACCTGGGGTTCTTTAACGTGCACCCAAATCTGAGTACACGAGCCTACAACATTTCCGCCTTCATCGGAAATGCAGCTGCTGCACATTGAAATTTCAAATGTGAAATTTAGTTCCAAAGCTTTTGTAGCTACACTGTCTTAATCAAGGCCTTTTTTGTAATTCAAACTGAATTGCGGTCACATATGCGTCGCCAATGTAGCTTCATTTTGAAACATGATCTCAAGCTTACTTTTGGTGCAGAGAATACTCATGTGGGAAAGTCGTACGTTTTTACACCCAGTTAATATTTGCAGCGGAATATTTTGTAGCTGCCATGAAAATTCAAACTTTGCTGTTCAAATCCTATATTTATTGTCATTTTATTAAACAATAAAGCATATGTGACATTAAGTTTTGGTCTACTTTTTTACTCCTAGAGTCAAAGAAGCCAGTTGAAAAAACCATGTCAAGCAAAGCAAGCATATCTCCAACTGCACAGAAGGTGAAACTGATGAAAATGAAAATGCATGCTGCTGGTGAAAAAACTATCCCCCTAGCCGACAGGGTGTATTTTGAAGTATACTTTCCAAAAGGCCACAAGGTTCGCTCAAAGCCCTATCATTTTTCAAAGGTAATATTCACATGCTTGTGTCTTTACTTGGAAGTTTTATAGATACTCCTTTGCAGTTATGGACTGTGGGGAGAGCAATTGATAGCACTGCTATAATTGAGAAACTTCCAAACCAGAACAACAGGCAGACTGAAAAGGTAAGCCACCATGCAAGGACTTCTGCAATGTTGACAGAAAGAATGCTTTAGAATGGAAATCATAAGCATCATTTCTTGTAATGCAGAGGCTGCTGCTGTTCCAAGCAAGTACCTTAAAGGTGCTCGGTGTGAGCGACAGTTTTGAGACACTGTTGAACTCCAAGCTCCTGAATGAAGCGGAGACATTAATTCTTGAATATGTTCCTCCAGACTGTGATTCATTGTCAGCAGACTATCACTTTGAGGAAACTTGAGTTTCTTCAATTTTTAATAGGAAGCAACATCTTGAATCGAGGTTCACATCTGTTGCAAGACATCTCTGTGTGACTTTACTTGTTTTGTTATAGCGATTTGTAGCTCTACACTTCAACACCCTTTGCTGCAATGAAGTTATTCTTGAAAGTCGTACCACAGAGCACTCACATGATTTCAGTTCCTGGCCATGGTGGATGCATTCTAACAGGGAAAAAATGCTTACGTTCTATTGAAGAGGCAGAACTTTTGCATTACGCTAGCTTCTAGGTTGCAAATTGATAACTGAGGTGTAAGTTTGCAGATGTGTGCATAGGAATGTAAATTTGAGGGGATCAACTGGCATATGGCTGGCGAACAATGCATTCTATGAACTGCTTTTGCAATGTCTCCATGAAAGAGGGCTACATGCTTTTATTTTATTGCAAGGAGTTAATGTCACATGGCACCCCAGGATAAAAGAAAGCTTCAAGAGGCCATTCACACTGCCATACACTCATCTAGGGTTTATATATTGATGTTACATGATTCTTGGTATAGTGCCAGAAATGCTGTTGCCTTTAGACTTCCGCGCACTTAGTGCTGGTCAAATGAAATCTCGTGAAAACATATACTAAAATATGGCTGTCCTAGTATACTGTGTCTGACGTCTCCACAAGAGTGCTTGGCTCTGTAATAAAAATTAACTATTATTCAAATACTGAAAACGCTGCCTACTACTACAAGCTGCCTCCTAGAAAGTTTATTACTCCAAAATGATTGTTACTGACTGTAAAGGTAGCTGCACGAGGCATGTCTAGTTGTTAAAGGAGAACATCAAATCAAATGAATTAGAAGGGCTTGCCATCCATTTTTAAAATGTTTTCTTGTACCTGAATAAAATAGGCATGTTTGAGTATTTATTTGTTTTAAATGTCTTAAATTTAGCACTTAGTGTGTGTCATTATATTATTCACATTATTCTTGCTTTATCCTCTCTACTTTTATCAAAACATAAATTATCACATAACATTCTTGTTGTCTCTGTAATTTGTGATGCAAGCCTACATAATAAAATGCTCTGTTTGTTGCTTACCATCTTGTACTAGCTATTTTGGCACTCTTATGGCAAAAAGGCAGCATGTGTCTTCGCTTTCTTATTTAACTGTCAAATATGATTTGTTGCATTTTGCAGTACTTGCAATTACAAAAATATGGTTTCAGGTAATTTTCTATTGACTGCAGTACTGAAAAGCAGTGTTTAGAATAGAAGTAGAGGAGACAGCAGGTTTGCCTATCGCTTGTCTTCTCAGACGTTAAAAAGTTTCGTCATTTACATAGCACAATTTTAAGATCATTCTGGAAACTATGGACGGATAGAAGCTGCTCTCCTTGTTATATGTTTATTAAGAGTGGTCTGGGTGTGCACACACAAAATGTGCTTTTGGAGTGGAACCACTTTGCTGGAACTACTACAGATGGAGCAAAAAGTGTAGTGAAAGAACTGGCACCGTTTTGTAGCATAACTTTAACCTTCCAAGCAGCTCCATCATGGAGAATGGCCCATTTAAGTGTTTCCATAGAGCAGACAAGGATGTAAGCCTCCCTGATTTAAGTGAGTCGCATCGTAGCAGTATGCATTGCTGCTTCCTTAAAGAGGTACTGACATGAAAATCTTCAGTCAGTCTTTTTTTTTGGCATCAAATAAAAGGTCAAGCACTCCAGAGCCTAGAAAATGTACTCTGAAGTGTGAGTGCCCCTAAAAAAGTAACTACAGCATGTTTTTTAAAAGATAGTTTCGATTCCTACCGTAGACTAAAGGCACAACAATTTTTGTCATGTGCTCACGCAACACATTTTTTTTTTTTTTTCTACGACAACTCCTCATCATGGCTCCATTGGCGACGCACTAGCGGCCATTTGAGAAGTTTTGGTACCTGACATCGTCGCAACTAGACAGACTGCTGTGTGAAATTACCAAAACAGAGCACTCTCGGTACATAGTAGCTTTGCATGGCAGAGTAAACTTCAAAAAATAGTATCAGTACCCCTTTAATAATGCCATTCTGAATGAGATGAAAATGTTTTTTTAATTTCAAAGTACTTTGTCTTAACATTTTGTATATAACTTCTGATAAGATAAATTCCTGATGTAAAGAACACATTTTCTCGGGCTTTACAAAACCTCTACCGAAACAGCAGAGGGCAGTACAAAAAAAAGGTAATAGGTGCTTATCCTGCTGTGATCTGTAGGGGCCTGCTATTGTGCATACTGTTAAACCTTCGGCAATAACTTTACGAGAATTTACGAAGCAATAGCGTAAGGCCTTGTTTACTAATGCCATATGCTGACTGTAACGCTTTGTACGTAGGCGAAATGAAAAATTTACCCAAGAGCCTGCGGCCGTAGGCGTGTGCGTGAGAAGACCAGGGGCAGAGGGGGGGGGGGGGCATAATTTGCCCATTACCAACGAGAGGGGAGGATGTAACGAACCTTTGCCCTCGCCCTCAATGGAACCCTGTGCCCACTAATGCCTGCAGGAACATAAAAACGATGTGTGCAAGTTTGCGCGACAAAGGAATACACTTGCTAAGCACAGCGTCGTGAACGGCCACAGCATGAAATTTGACAACTCCCACGTCATCGACTTAGCGACCAACCAGCTGCTTTTTGTTGAATACTAGTCCATCCGGGATACAGCCGGTAATTTCAAATGGTCTTGGAATGTGATACATTGCACCCACAAAGGCAGGGGTGGATTATCTAGGGTTCAAAGGGTTTAAATAAATCGGGCCCTTTGGTTTTAGAGCCTCCCCAACCCCAAGGGAAAAAAACAAAAGACTGACTTTGTTGTTTTGTTCAAAAAAGTTTAACGCTCCTGCTAGACTCCCCTGATAAAAACAAATCATATATTTCTATAATCAATATACATGCTTCTAAGAGGTTGTTCGTTGCATAGCGTGTATAATCTTGAAGTCGGCTCACAGTTTTGCTGTCGGTGGTAAAAACCTTTTACTTGCCTAGGACTATGCAGCCTTAGAAGAGCTTGTATGAAATCAAAAATATATAGCTAGATGATTGGCAGCATAGTTACTGTAAGTACGTGCGAACAGTTTCTGAAAAAGGCCCACCTGTGAACTTTGGCAGTGCTCGCACGTAGGCATGCAACCAAAGCGTGCACTACCGAATTAGTGAAGCTGTAGCAGATAGAGGAAGCTATTTCACACAAAGGCGCTCTCCGATTTTCGAGGGAAGACTTTTCTTAAAATAAGGGTAACCAACGCTATAGGTCAAGACGAATGGAAGAAACACACACGATGCTTGAACTGCACTTCAAAGTGCAGCTCAAGAACGGTGTGTACTTCATTCCTTCTTTTCGTCTTGACTTCTCGCACGGTTTAGTCTTCTTTCAGTATGACCGAACAAATCAGGAAAATCTCAATGCTGTCCATGTGTCTTCGTCTCCTGATATTGTAAATTATTATGATGACAATCTCTCTATGTGCTCTCTATAAAGAAAACGCCCAGGTAATATCAAACACTTCAGAGAAGCTTAGAATAAATATGGCTTGTGTTCTTTGCAGCTAAATCTAACGAGCGTGAAGTCTCAAGCACAACCGTATGACAAAGTGGGAAAGAATAAAATTAAGAAGGAGGAGCAAGAAGCCCCCTTATTTTTATCTGTTGAACCAAGCCCTCCGCACTGTTAACCTGGCCCTACATAAAGGACAAAAAGTTGCAAGAAGCACACCTACGCAGTGCTAACAGATGAATTTATTGTCACAAGACAAAGAAAAATGTCTGTGGCATGAGCACCAGCAAAATGAAACGCTCATACTGTATACGTGTCTTCACACCTACACCTGTACTCTGCTCTCGAGTGAGCAGATCTCTTTTAACGAAAGCGCAACACACAGAGAGCTGACACACTTTCAATTTTGAAGGCTTTCTGAAGCTTTCGTCTCGGCCTGTCTGCATAACGGCTATGCATATCACTATGCACTCTTGGAATAAAGGTTGGCATGCGCAGTTAGCAACATGCACGGCTGAGGTACTCCCCCGTAGAATTTTGAATGTCACACATTAGGGAGGCCCCCCACCCACCCATTCCTCTACGTATGCTTTGGAAGTGGCAAGCCATTTTTCCTCATTTTTCATCACATTTTGTCTGGTGTAGCTGTTGTGGCACCTTGACACCTGTAGCCCCCGAATTTCACCAGATTTTCCAAATCTGGTGCCACATTTCACCGTCTGGGAACGCCGCCCCATCGGTGCCAGCAAGGTAGATACAACTGGTAGCGAAGGCTCCACAGAAGCCCATACATTCAAAAAATGGCGGCTGGTCAGCTGCTGCTTAGCTAGCTTAGCGCCATCTCGTTGAGGAGGGAACACAGTAAATCGGATGCGAGGCAACAGTTGGTAAGCAAGTGACATTTTTTTGTGTGCACTAGCATGAAAGTTGATCTCAATTTATTTTGTTAGGCCGCTGATCCCTAAGGACTCGCCGGCAAGTCCTGCACGAGTGCGCTTCGAGTCAACACCAGCTAATCTGATACCAACTCATGACTAGATAGTAAGGTTTAAGTGTACTACCATTCACTTTGTGATGGTTTTACAAGGAATCTTGTTCGAACTTTTATTCAGCATTCGTGGCATCTTCCACAGATGGTTTAAAGCAACAAACAGCGTATACCCGTCATATCTGCAGCGTTGCTTATTTGCTTCACACATATGCAGGTTCTTTAACACGACAATGCTAGTGTTCTTTATTTTTAAAAGAAAGAAATGATGCCTAGTCATGCATAAATTATGACATTCCAGTTTTATTCAATGGTCACAATAACTTAAATTTGTTACAGCGCACGCAACGACAATAAGCGGGAAAATTTCTGTGCACATACTTGTGTTATGTTGTTTTTTTCGCATTATGCTCCGGTTATGTATGCGAATCGTAGCATGATATATAACTTCTGCTCACCGATAACGCAAATATTAGTAGGCACTGCATGCTCAAAAAGGAAACCGGGCTGCAGGAATACTGATGGATACAAGTACAGCGAGAACTGTATTCTGAACTATTGCTTTTGTTTCTTATCTAGAAGACATGGGTCATCAGGTATACCTTTGTCGCTACTGCTTCCTTGCCCAGCACATGGTTTCTGTAGGTACCGACGAAAGCACTCGGCAATAAATGTAATACGCATCATTCCACTGCCTGTTGGACACTGCATTTAAGAGGTTCACCAACAATAAAACGCACCTCACAATTTCGCGCACAGCAGAGCATGTAAGCAAGTGCAGAACACTTAAACATGCGAGGGGGTGTGTCATCGCAGATGAATTTTACGAGCGTGCCTTTCCACATAGTGCAAAGGCTGCACTGAGTAATAATAGAGGGGACAGAGAGTGCTGGAAATAAAGACCTTTCGTAAATAGAGAAAAATATTAAATTATTTACTCATTACACCTACATATTGTTGGGGGAAAGAAATGTCATTTGTAAAACCTAGTGATTGCTCTGACTTTCAATCAAACTTGGTTTTTCACTCTTAGTGTTTGTTCTCTCCATACATAGTCGCGCTTCAATCGCCATAGAGTTAATATACGTACTGTATACTGTTAATATACATACTGTATATACTGTCTGTATATTAACTCTATGGCGTAGACAGGATAACCACTGGTCATCAAGGGTAACTGTCTGGATTTCCAGAGAAGGTAACCGTGTGAGGAGACAAAGTTAGGTGGGCAGATGAGATTAGGAAGTTTGCAGGTATTAAGTGGCAGCAGCAAGCACAAGACCAAGTTGACTGGCGGAAAATGGGAGAGACCTTTGTCCTGTAGTGGGCGTAGTCAGGCTGATGATGGTAAGATGATGATGGTTAGATTGCGCTTGTTTGTCTTTCTGTGTCCCTGTGTGCTTGCGCAAAAATTTCAAGATGGATATGTCCCAACTAGGCCGAATTGCAGTTTTGCAAAAAAGACGGTATTGTAACCGGTTCTGCACTATAAGCAATTACATTGCAAGTGGTCTACACTCTAGCTTGTAGACAGTGGACAGTAAAGTGATCTGCCAGTAATTCCTCAAGCCGTTG